AATGATGTCGTGTTTTAAACAAGTAACTTAATGATACCACGCATCTCTCGAGAAAACTCCAACAAAATTTCTTTAGGAGTGAGCTGTTGAAAGGAGTCTATCGTAGATATTTATTGGTGTGAATTCAGTGGAATGGTCATACAAAGCAAGCAACACAACAAGGCATGTTAAATAGAAGCGATGTGATGAGGTCTTTAGTTAAGTCCCTTGAAAAATATAGATTTAAAAAAGTATGACAGAAATTTGCCGTAGTTTAACTAGTTCCGTTATCGCTGGTACACTCCTAACATTGTAAACATTCTGAGAAACTGGCTGAGTTATTTCCTTCTCTTACTCCATGTCGACAGGACAGGCCCTGCGTCCCATATCGAAAAAAGGAAGTTGAAACATTATATGTAAAAGATGTCCATTAATTTCCAATGTAAATTAGATTAAGTGGAATAATATTTGAGTAGAAAGCCCTCACTAATGCACTATTGAACATCTATCAGCATACCGACATACCTTAGAGAAAGTTGCTTACGTATTCATATATGTGTGCTATCAAACTTTAATTTGTGGATTTTTTGGAATTCTATGGAGGTGAATCTTAAAAAAAGATTAAAAAACATGTTTTAGAAGTTGATCGAGTCATTGAAAAATGAAAATTTGAAAATATCTGATTGTATCATATTTTCTTCTCGTTTTGTTAGGGCGTTACTAATTCTTGCGTTTATGTATGCTAATATTATGCATAGCTTTTCGAAACGTTTTCAGAAGAGGTTAAGTGCATCGACCAATCATTCTTATAGACGTCGAGCGATTAAGGTATTTTTCGGCTAATTTTTTAGAAGTACAATTATATGTTTCAAATAATAAAGCGTAAATCATTTTCTAGCACACATATGAAGCAATCACAGTATTCTTGAAAATTGCAACAGGTTGAATGTCGCGGCAAAGCAATAAAATCTTGAAAAACCCAGAGAAACAGCCCCATTATAGCTAATAAACAAAATTTTTTCTCGAATCTATTGAACTTATGAAAAATGATTTCTAAGGTAACAAACATAACAAAATACATCCTGGACAGCTTCTCCCTAACAATCGCCATACAATGCTTAGCTGATGTGAAAATGTCCGATAGAAAAGTGTAGAACTGACAGCTTAACGCTAATCCATAATAATAAATCTTCGTTCATGTCTTAGTTTGTCTACAACATATGTACATTCTGAAAAAAACTGCTCTTAGCTTTTCAAGCAAAGTCAAGTTCCATATGCAGAACCTTCTTTTATGTTTAGAAATTTAGAAATAAAGATGATTATCAGAAAAATACAACAAATTTAGGAACTAATGTTGTCAAATGATGTAGAACGCATGAGCCGACAATTTCACAATATTGCAGTATCTCAAAATTGGTTACAAGTTAGCCCTATGAGAAGCTTGATAAGACTTTAGTTAGCTTTTTGACTTTCCCCTCTTGAGATTAACTTAATTCACTGTATAATCATCAAAAATCTAAAATTGCAAATGAACATCCAAAACAATATGAGCTCAAAATTGATGGCTTGACTTCAAATCATTGTTCAGAATTACGCCCACTAAGGTTTTTTTAGACTTTCTAAGAAAAATGATGCATTCTTGTGTCTTCACTGAAAATTGTCGATTTTGGCTTGTAACAGCTACAGACCTCGGCGGCAGGTCCTACGAATCAAGTGGTGGAAATTGAAAGGGAACTCTCTGGCCAAAGAAGCTCTAGTAAGTACTCTACCGATCCTATGTGAGAAACTAGAACAGTTATGGTCGACCTTAAAGCGTAACGTGCACTGGGTAGCAAGGAGTTCACTGGGTCACACGAAGCCGGGAAGAAGAAAAATCAACAATGAAACTTGGTGGTGGAATGATGGGGAATAAATGGTGATTAAGGAAAAAAGTCATATACAAGCAATGGCATAAGTCGATATAGGAAAGCGATCGACAGTTGTACCTAAAATGATACCCTCTCCAAAAACATGTGTCAAGAAAGCGAAGAAAGCATGCGTGGAAGAGTTGTATAAGAGATTGGAATCTCGTGATGGAGAGCGCGACATATACCGAATAGCGCGAGGGAGAGCAGCGTCCGCAAAAGATATGGAGCATTTCTACCATGTGAAGAATAAGCTGGGAAAAATGTTGAGAAGACCACAGGAAATAACTGGCAAACGTACGAAGATATGTAACTACCAGCATTGGCACAGCCATCCTACCAGCTGACCAGCAACTGAAAGGACCAGCACAAGTCAGAACAGCAGAGGAAGTATGACTTGCTTTAGCGAAGACAAAGAATAAAGAACGGCTAGGCTTCTGGTCGAGATGACATACGAAGCGAATTCTGGAAAGAATGCGGATGGCTCGGTGCCTCATAACTTGCAGTCCTCTTCAATCAAGTCATCAAAGCTAAGAGCATGCCCCATGACTGGTCAAAGAGCACAACGATTCCGATATGGAAAAATAAAG